TCATTTGACCTCTATTCTTTAATTGTAGAAGAATTTCGATAATAATTTCTTTTAAATCAATTTCATTATCATTTACTCGTGTAAAATTTCGGTTTTCTAAGAAATTTGTTAATTTAACTAATTGATCTCCATCTAACACATAGTTTTTCTCATTTTTAACGATATTTTTTAATGAAGTCAAAATTTTTTCTAATGTTTCTGTTGTTCGAATTGCTCTGCTGAGTCCTATCTTAACAAATAGTTTTTCAAAATCGAAAATAATTTCACGACGCTTATTGTTGTTAGTATCACCGCCGTAAATAGAAAAATTAGTTTCTTCAAATTTCTTATTATATTGCTCTTTTTTGACCGTTTTGTCTTTAAAAAATTCGATAATTATATTCATTTTGTATAAAGCTAACGCAATTCCTTGATTATTACTAATCTCATCATCTTCTTCTCGGTTTCTCTTCTCAATTACTTTAATTGAGAAAGTATTCTTAAAGTTCTTTTTTACTACTTCCACTATTTCATCCTTTCTCCTTTCATACGAACACAAAGAATAAGAAGAAGAAAACTCATCTTTAACAAAGAAAACAAAAACTTCTTTACTGACTTTGAAAATAGCAAACGTAATCCATTGTAGTTGTTCAATATTCGAAATGCCTACCAGACTTTGCTTTTCATTTTTAATATCACAAAAATTCTCTTCAATAATTTCTTCAATTGATTCACTATCTTTCAGAATAAATTTTTTGACAATTTCTCCATATTCTTCGTCAAAATTAGTTGTTTCATTCAAAACGATGTAAAACATTTCACTTTTTTTCGAAAATTGGTTCAATTGTTGTAAAACGGATTGACTTTTATTTGATTCAGCGATCATTTTCGGTGTTTGACAAAAGGAATTTTTTAAATTTAAATCAATGTTGTCATGTTTTAATAAATATTCGACAATATCCAAATGTTGAAAATAACAAGCACCATGCAATGGTGTATTTTCATTTGATAATAATTCATTTCCATTTGGTAAAAGTAATCTAGGATTTTGTAAATTTAATTGACATCCAACTGTTTCAATTAGATATTTAACTATTTCTAAGTTTCCATATTTTGTTGCTGCATATAAAACTGATGTACCATAAATTCCAAATTTATTTTTGTATTGAGGATATTTTTTAAAAAATTCTTGTACTTCATTTAATAAATTCTTATTATCGTCATCATTACCAGTACAAGAAAATAATTGAAAAATGGTAATACTTTCTTGACAACATTTCAAATTCTGATATAATTTTGATAAAATTTTTTTTGTTAACAATGTTTCCAGTTTTATTGCAAGTGATCGATTGTTAATAGCATGAAATTGTGAAGATGAAATTAAATCTAAATCAACAAAACAATCCAATATAAATAAATAGATATGAGACGGCTCTTGTAAATTATTGTTTGTTGTTCGATTTAATTTGATGCTATCAGTTTTTAATAAATATTTTCCCAATATCTCTTCAATCGTTTTTGTAATAACTTCATTCGATAATTTTTGTGATAAATTTAGAAAATCGAGTAATTCCTTGAGTAAATCTTGAGGTAATTGAATAAACTGATCCATTAATTCTTTTTTTTTCAATGAATGTGATTCAAATTAGAACGATAAATAAATCGAGCTGAATAGATATAACAAAATAAATATCTAAAAGAAAGAAAAATAGAACCTAATAGGTCTTAAGGGTGTGGACCTCTTTCCTCTGTCGTCGTCCAAGTTCTCACAAAACTGCTAGTGAAAAAATATCGAAACACCGAATAACGTTTTTAAGAATCAAATACAAAAAGAAAATTTCACCTTATTTAGTTCTCAGTTTTAATCTCAAAATTCTTTTCAGAACCGATCAAAGATATAAACTTCTTTTTTCATCACAACGGCAACAAAAATAAACACGATAGTTTTATTCATTTCTATCAGTTTGATTCATAAACTGAATTAGAAATTTCACAGTAGATATATTGTGGATTAATCCAATACATCTAGTTACATTCTATATTGTTACGAACTGTCTCTCGGTACAGGTCGCACAGTTTCTCCACCTACAATATCTTTTCTGAATATGATCCGAAGTAATCGTACTATCTGAGTGTTCATGATCTCTCTTCTCTCTTATCCATCCAAATAATCATACTATCTTTGCTTGTGAGAATTCGACTATCTTACGATCACTATGCATATCACCACACTAAACATCTGATAGAGAGAATACATAAATCTCTCCTATATACAGGCGAGAGAGAGAGTGTGTGTAAACATGAACACGAAAATAGCACGAAGGCCTAGATAGATCTCGAATAGGAGAAAAAAGTAAGAAAGAATGAGAGAGAGAACATGAATACATATGTACATCTTCTTTCGTCCAGTTGTTACACATACATATATAATATATAGTGTGATTCATCATCTATATGTGTTTTCGTTCTTTTATACACCATTCATGGATTTTTCCTTCATTCTTCCATGTGGATTTTTCCTTTCTTATTGTAAAATGTTAATAAAAGCTTGGATTTTTCTAATCTGGAAAACATTGATACACCCAAGCAGACAAGAATTTGGAGAAACGCGTTTAAACGCTCAATGGGGAACCGCGATTGTATCTCATTCACACTCGAAAAAAACGCGTCGTTTTATCGATTTTTGGCGTTTTTTTCTATATAATCTCTAGTTTTTGAACGTGAAAGCGACAAAAAAATCCAGTTTTTGAGCGTTAAAACGTGCTTTTACTTCTGTAGTTTTCTGCAGTCTGGAAGCAGTGCATTTTAACGTTCAAAAACTGGATTTTTTTGTCACTTTCACATTCAAAAACTAGAGATTATATAGAAAAAAACGCCAGAAATCGATAAAACGACGTGTTTTTTTCGAGCGTGAATGAGATACAATCGCGGTTCCCGATTGAGCGTTTAAACGGGTTTCTCAAAAATCCTTGTCTGCTTGGGCAGCTACATAGACAAAAATCATATCAAATGAATAATGTTGATAATAAATAAATATAAAAAGAAGGAAAAGAATAACATATTCGCATCGATTTTTTCGTTTTTGATGGGCTTATTATGTATTCTACAATTCATTTTTAGATTTCTTTAAAATTCAACAGTATACTAAATTATTCTAAGTTCATCACTGTTGCAATACAAAGAAAATTAATATTGTGTCGTCTATTCAAAACGCATAAAAAACAAGGTTAAACAAACATTTAAGTAAGAGTTTTCTTCTTTAATTCATTTTTGATACTTTCACGCACTAGAAATTACTTCTCAGTGTATAATACTGGGTGATTTCTAATATAGATACAACTATAGTGTATTTTTTTTCGTTCCTGAATCATTCCGATTATTTTTTGTTTTTATTTCAGAGGAAACGTAGATTTTTTAAAGAGTTTTGGATTTTATCAATGAAAGAATCAAAACTACAATGCTAGAAGTTTCGCTCAGATTCCTTCTTTATGCACATGGTCAATAACCTTTAGATTTGTCCTAAATATTACAGGTCAAACGAATGAGAGTTTTCAAGATGGTGAATTCGTAAGAAATAGTCAGTTTACCATACAAGCAGCGAATCGACAATCTTTTTTAAATTCAGTATTTCAATACGGAAATTTTTCTTTGAACTGAACATTTTCCCGGACCCGTAGCACAATATATAAGGTTGACATATGAGAAAGAACACAGGTCGAAATTTTATCATTTAGGGCAGAAAAGTGATGCTGGATTCCAAGATTTTCCTTTCTTGACTTTAATAAATTCGAGTTTATCACCAAACTTTTAAAATTAAGTTCTATACTCGAATTGAAGAATAGAATGATATTGAGTATCTGAGCTATTCACAGTTAACTGAGGACATAAGAATAATATTATATTAATTTTGATCTTTACTTGAATTAGGAGTTTATTTTAAATCAATGAGGAAGACTTGAGCTTGATTCAATTGTTACTTAGAGAGTAATTATATAAATTCATTTCTGTCTATATTCGGTCCTTAACAATGCACCTTTCATATTCTCATTTTGTGTTTGTCCATCTGTTTCTCTTTTGTTTACAAGGTTGCATAGCGATAAGAGAATAATCTACAGACTGGGAGAAAGGTTTTTGATATTTATTTTCTGACGAATCTTGAGACTCCGAAATGTTGTCTGAAACAAAAATCGACGAGCAACTAGGTGCGCACACCAATTGCATACAGCCTTTAATAAATGACAGCTTTTGCTCACGATATTTACAGGTATTGTGTTAGCTTCAATGGAAAGATGGAACAAGAGTGATTATTGAAGCAACTCGCATATGTAATTAAAAATGTTACCCGTTCTATTTGCGACAATTCTTTTATCTGTTTGCTTCGATAGGAAGCGTCATACTATGTAACAAATAATTCTACAGTAGTGAAAGCAGAATATACAAGACGGTAATATAACATTTTACTCGAGAAGAGAAAGAAAATGTTTTGCTAATAAGCCTCGATTTAGATTCTAACATTCTTTTGAAACTTTAGAGGTTTTTGTTGAACACAATATAGAATTCTGATCATTTACTTCTTCGTTAACACACGAATAGATCTTCCTATTAAGGTTTATGAAAAATTATTGATTGTGAGAACAAGAATATTTTAGCAAAATATGAAAATGGCTACAGTAGTTTTTCGATTATTACAATATCAACTCTTTCTAATAATTTGAATCGATGCCTATTATTTCTGAAAATCTTTTATCTATAATGTTATTTCAAATGTTACATTTTCCATGTATTTTAGATTGAAAAGAAAGCAAAAACTCAACTAAAACTTATCATTATCAATTTGAATGTATAATCCGGACCACACACTGAAAGGAAGTCTCACTCGTATCATTAATCGCTATTCTAATTCTCACACAACCACGGAAACATTGCCTGGTGGCGTAACTAAATATACACATGTAAGAAAAAGAGACCTTGAAATCAGAATTCTCCTGGGTCTTTATTCTCTTGGACTTACGGAAGCTCTAATGGTACATCACGAAGAAACATATGAATTTTACTATGAAGGCACATACTTGGGTTCAATCAGAAATCTAGCGGCTGACACTGCATTCACACATGGAATAGAATCTTTTGAAAGAGGAAATTTTCAAGAAGCAGAAAAATGGTTTAATGCAGCTCATTTGACATGTGAGAGCGGTTCTAGTGAAGAGACTAAGTTTAAGAATAATAAAGAGGTCGCAAAACTTGCCTATGAAGGACAGTTCTCTTATACCAATCATGATTATGGACACGCGCAAAGAAAGTTTGAAGAGGCACTTAGAAAAACAGACGTCGCTGAAATTAGGGACGTTTTATCTAGCCATAGTAGAGCCGCATCACAACGCGAAGTAGAAGCAAGAGCTGCTGCCGCAGGAGTTGAAGCCCAACGGGCAGCTGCTGCTGAACTAGAAGCGACTGCGAGAGAAGAGATGGAGTTAGAAATCGCATTACGAGCATCAGAGCAAGAGGCTTCTACATTTGAATTGGAAACCGCAATAGCCACATCCGAGTTGAAAGCTGCACTATTCGCATCTAACCAAGAAGCTGCTGAAAGAGAAGCAGGTGAAATAGAGGCTGTAATATATACATCTGAGTTGGAAATCGCACTATTCGCATCTAGCCAAGAAGCTGCTGAAAGAGAAGCGGGTGAGATACAGGCTGCAATAGCTCTATCAGAACGACAAGCTACTGAAGAAATTATATCTCAGAGACAGGCTGTCGAAAGAGATGCATTTGCACGAGAAGCCTATGGAAGAGCTGCGATTGAACGAGAAGCCGTTAGAAGAGCTGCGCTTGCACGAGAAGCCGCTGCAAAAGATGCGCAGGCACGAGTAGCTGCTGGAAGAGCTGCGCTGGCACGAGACGCCGCTAGAAGAGCTGCACTTGCCCAGGAACTAGAAAATGCAGCGCAAAAGTTAAATACCGAAGGACTAAAGTTATATAATGCGGGACTTTTAAAAGAAAAGGCGGGTAAAAGAGAGTTGGCTCTTGATAAATATGAGAAAGCAGCTGAAAAAATTGATGAAGCTGCTGAGAAAAAAGCTTTATATGTTATTTATAAATCGTTTATAATCTTGATAGATGCATTTATGAGAACTAAGGCATATCATGAAGCTGGAAAAACCATGAATATGGCTCGAAAGTATTTTCAAGATGACAGGGCTAAATTTACTTTTAAAGAGATCGAAGGACAAATAAAAAAAGAGGCATGGTCTTCTGATTATCTAGACGAGTATCTTCATAAACTGGAACTTTCAGAAACACAAATAGTAGAAAATAGAGATTGGTCTAGTTCCAAATAAAAAGCACGAAAGTAGTAATTTAGTTATTAGATATATAATCAAAAATATGTTAAAATTAATTATAACAGTATAAGAATAGTTTGATAATAATACAAATAACACTTCAACCCTTTTTACATAAACTGACATATCACACACTTTTATGGACGATGAATGTGAGTTGTAGTATAAAAATTTATCAAGCAAATATAATGTCACCATAAATAAGAAGCATTAATGATCTAATTTACATCCACGAAGTGGTGTGATTTCAAATTATCATAGATTAATATTTAAAACAAATAATGCTGGCTTATATTACTTATCAATTTGTAAAAATATGATATAAAAGAGACAAATATATATAATCAACATCGGAATTACCGTGTAAAACAAAAATTATATCAACAGTTTTATTATTTGGTTTCTCACTTATAAGTTATGTAAAAGAAAAGTTTTATTTGTATTATTTTCTTGTCTTTGTAATTCTACTGTTACAATTTTTTCTTTTTTTATAAACTTTACTCTCTATATTGTAATTTTAAGAGTGTATCTATCCTCATTTTGTGTGTGCATATGTTTATAATTTATTGGATGAAAAAAGCGAAGGTATTCTTTTGATTTGTATATGTCAGTATAGTTGAATAACTTTTATTTTTTTTATTGTCAAAAAATGTTCTGTAGTCATTTTCTTTAGTGTGAATATCTATTTTTTCTGTAAACACAAAAAGCAATGCTTTCGTTCTTCGTTTATTCGTGCTATATTCCATCATCAGTTGTCAACGGCTGTTAGTGGTATCTTTTCTTAAATTTCTTCATGCAAGAAAGGGAAACGAACTCTAATGACATGCACGTATCATTACAAAACGCAATTTATAAATGGATTTATTAATACAATTAATGATAAACTTTGTTGTATTGTTAAAATGTTCAAATGATTCAATTTTTAAAACTAATTACCCATATGATTATCATCAATAACAACAAATGTAATAAATTGAATACTAATGAATGGGTTTTTGTAAACAAATCTATAATTGCTTTGTAATAACATCACTGAAGAAGAAGAAGATATGCTTTTCTCCTTATTTTTACCTTTGTATTCTTTTCCTTGTTCATTGTACAGAAATTATTAGAAAAACATTTGTTTGTCTTTTTATTTTGATTCCTTTGTTCGTTCTATTTACTTCTTTATTAAAAAAATTATTAATGTAATATGATGTTAAATAAATAGATCATCACGGAAGAGAGTGAGTATGGTAAAAATGAATCTACAACCATGTTCTTCTATTTGACATAGATATTTTCTACGCTTTTCTAATACAAGTATGCTTCAGTAATTCATTGGGACATATTTACTTTAGAAAATAAATTTGATGGTATATACTGTAGTCCATTCCAACTTTCTCATACAATACTCATTACATCAACGCGAATATCAGGAGAAGGGAAAGAATTTTGTACACTTCGTTCGTTTTCAAACGTTATATGTCACATGAAAGAAAAAAAATAAATCTAACATTTTATTTCGAAAACTCGTCTAAACATTTTACTAGAATTGCATGTATCAGGTTGTACGCATAACATGTCATTCCAGTAGCATCTTGAGGTTGTGGGTGTGAGTGTTCTTCTGATCCTCATACACACCCACCCTCAGTATTCAAATTTTCATTAATTTCATTTTCATTTGAAAGTTTACAAAGATTTTTAACAGAACTGCTTGACAATTTGATTCCGAACGTAAAGATTCAATTGCTCGTTTTCGATTAGATTCAGTTTGAAGACTTTTATGATGAAATATAAATGCAAAATTACGATATAATGGTAATCGATTTTGTTTTAAAATAAGATCGAATAATCATTTTTTGCTATTTTTTTATTTAAATTTGATAAATATAATATTTTCTTTACATCAATATCACAATAATTATTATTTTGTTTAATTATAAACTCATTGTGATTTGTTATTCTCTCTTGATTATTCAAATTTGAAATATAAAAGAACAATAAAAGTTGAATAAACTTCCTGATAATTTTTTTTATTTTTTGATTGATTATTTGATGGTGATTTATGAATTATATTTAATGATTGAAATTGATTATGATCCATAAGAATATCATCTACAAAATCTTCTAATGAAAACAGCTCATTAAAATCTGTTTCATTATATCAATTGATTCATGGCAAATATCCATTAAAATATGTTTTTTTCAAATAAAAACTTATTCATCAATATTATTAAGAAATGTCATATCTTTATCTAATTTAGAATTTTCATCTAAATAAATTAATTTTAAGAAAAAACACTGTTATGATTATATAAATTGAAATTCATTGATTTATCTTTATTTAACTTTTTGACTCCCGACTTATTTTTGCGAAATTTCTCTAGAAAGATACAGTATTATTGTGTTGAAAATCTATTAGTAATTCATCTTTGTAAGATAGTCTTTGAAGCAATCCACAATTCATAGAAGGATATCACATCGAATATTGCGAGATGTATATATAACCATACAAAACGAAAGAAGTGAAATGCGGGTGTGGATGTGGGTATGATTATCTTTATTTTAAATCCACACTCACACCCACACCTACATCCACACCCACACCCTCAAGATCATATTCAGATAGAGCAGGGAAAAGTGCATCGATCTATATATTTAACTCATTGCATGAAGAACTCGTTAGAAGAAAAATTGGTCCACATTTCATAGTATATGTGCCTTTCTTCCTGTTTTTTTCAGTTTATAGCCAAATAAACTGAGATTATATATTTGATAAATCATTAATCTATCAGAAATTGATAGAACAATCGTTTCTACATACGTATAAAGTACTATTGCTATTCCAAACTGATTTTGAGGGTCAAATGGCAATGATTTCTGGACTAAGGTCAAAAAAACATCCTTTATCAGAATAAGCCGTTTTTTCATTTAAATCACTTTTTTATGCAAAATAAATCTTATATTCGTCATCAGCATGTTCAATAACCTAAGTCTTGATAATGATTTCATTCGTAGACACTATTAAAAAGGGATATTGACTGAATACGAAATATTTTCATATCATTAAGAATTATTCTCGATATTTTATAATAAAATGTATTCATGAAAGAATCATTTACTTTTTCATTTTACAACAAAAATCTAATCTGATATGCGTCAGCGATGTACAGAGCGGCAAATTTCTTAAAAATTCATTGTAATAGCGATCGCATTTTTTTCGAGGATATTAGAAAAGTACATGAATTTGATAGTAATTTCAATATTTTGTTAACATCATCCAAAAAAGAATTATTGCTATTCCATGTTGCACCTAATAAATCGTGATCAAGTGTTACACGAAAACATGTTGGAATAGATGAACTATGAGTTGTCTATTGGTTCAATATCCTTCTTGTTGTTGCTATATTAATCTAATTTCATTATCAAAATTTCGTGATAGAAACCTTTCAAGATTTCGTATTATTTTAAAAAACTGTAAATTGGTTGACTAGAGAATGAAATATTGATAAAGTGAATCCTATCTTTCGGTGATATATTAGAAACAAAAATGTCTCGCTGTATACTGTACGAGAATAAACACGTGGTTTGTTAAATGTATTTGTATCGAACTAGTAGCAAATGGCTCGCTAATGTGATTAATACGGCTACTGAATTTTTCTTCCTTTCTACTCATCCGTTAATTACAAGGGTCCTTATTTTTTGGTTGCAAATCAAAATAAAATGTTTGTCTTATCTCTTTCGTTTTACATAGTTGTTATATACAATCATTGGAGAGCGTAAGAGATGAGATACATTTGATATTAGTGTGTGATTAATTTTCGGTTTAAATGAAGATTAGTGAATGTATGCATCAGTGATCACTAAAGCAAAATAAGAATAAAAAAATGATTGTCGGTGCATTTTTCTTTCGTTTTGATCATTATTTAAAGGTAACTATCATCGTACGACTTCTATTCAGTTTAGAATATTCTTCAGGTATCTTTTCATATGGGAGAGATAGTTGTTCTAGTGATAAGTGTGTCCCATATAAAATTGTAACTATTTGACGAGATCTATATAGAAAAATCTTTTTTAATCGATTATAATCAGAATGTCTGAAATAATCGATGAAGCATTGACTCTTCTAGGATTTTTATTGATTAAACTTTTGTTGTTTGGTGAGTGAGGGTGGTGTGTGTGTTGAATGATGATCGGAGAAGACTGACCCATCATCGTCACCCTGAAAATAGTTGGTTTTATCTGATTCCATTGTACACATATTTGTAATCGTTTCGCTGTTTTGTTTCCATAATTAAACATTATTCGAACATCCATTTTTAGTGAAAGGGAACATTTATTGAATTAAGACACAAAAAGAGTGCAATGTCGAGAGAAGAACATCATGCCTCAATCTTTGGTGGCGGCCAACATCATTCAACTTGGAGTCACGAAATGCTCGGTGTAAGTCTGTTAGATACTTTTCAAATTTCAAAAATTTGTTAACGTTTAATTTAAAGGGAGCAGCAGCTTTTGAAGCATTTCGTTTGTGGGAACAACAACATCCAGGTGATCAACATCAACTTTCTAAAGAGATACTAGCAGGACTTGCTGGTGCTGAAGTTGATAAATTATTTGAAACACATGGTCTTGACTTTCTCGATAAAGAACAAGCTAAACTTCATGTAAGTTTAAAACGTTTCAACGTATAACATTATCTTACTTTCAATTTTCCAGGCAACGCAACACGCTGATGATTTGGTTGTGGGACTGGCCGTTCATTAGTTGATCGAGAAATACTTTTACAAATGTGAACTTTATTATTTTCTTATAATTGAATCATTTTTCAAATAAATATTTCTTTTCTTTATCCAAATAGAAGATGTGACTAGTCAAAAATATTTCTGTACAATACGAAGGGGTGGGTGAGGGTGTGGGTGTGGGCGAAGAAGAAAGAAACACACCCACACCCACCATTAATTTCAACTTATTTAATTATTATTTAGAAGATTTAGTCGTGAAAGAAAAGAGAAAGAATATTTGACTGATTCTTAAAACTCTTTTATAATTACGAGACATATAATGCTCGTCTCTGAACTCGCTCAGCTCGTCGTCGTCGAAATACCATCTCAGTATTTTTACTAAATAAACACAAAAATACTATTATATTGGTTCTCGTCACTCTCCACATCTATCGCAGAATAGTTCGAGCAATAAAACTTACCTTCTGATTCTCCACATTGAACACCCACAGAAGTGTTTTTTTTTCAACAACTGGATTTCTCCATTAGTTCTCCTCCATACGCTGCTCCCACACACATCCGTCTTCGGTTCAGATTCTGAGATTCATTCGCGCTTAGCTGCACACTAAGGGGGTAACAGCGGACTTCAAGACTTCAGGACTTCAAAGACTTCGAAAGACTTCAAGAGACTTCAGTAAGGGAAACTTCAATTTTTCGAAAGACTTCAGAAGATTTTAGAAGACTTCGATAGCCTTCAAAAGACTTCAAGAGACTTCAAGAGACTTCACCAGACTTCACCAGACTTCACCAGACTTCACCAGACTTCAAGAGACTTCAATGGACTTCATAGATTTCAAGAGACTTCATAGACTTCGAGAGACTTCATGAACTTCAGAAGATTTCAAAAAACTTCACAGACTTCAAGAGATTTCAAAGACTTCAAGAGATTTCTAAAGACTTCATGAGACTTCATAAGATTTCATAAGACTTCATGAGACTTCATGAGACTTTAAGAGACTTCATTAGACTTCAGGCCTGAAGTCTTTGTTGTTTCGCCCTCGTCTGTAGCAGAATAATATCTGTGGAAATACGACATTTTCTTTGATTTTCTCGTGAAATATATGCATCCCTAGAAATTTTAGAAGACATCATGAGACTTCACGAGATTTTATGAGACTTCATGAAATTTCAAAGACTTCTAGAGACTTCATAAGACTTCAAGAGACTTCAAGACTGAGTCCAGAGTTCAAGAGACTTCGTGAAACTTCACAAGAGTTCAAGAGACTTCAAGACTTCGT